TTATAGTTTTCAAGATACAAGGTTTAATAGTAAGTATAAAGAAGTTAAAGGGCAATAACTCATACAAGGGGTCATCAGATTCTTTTGCACCTATACAGTGAAGTTAGGTCTAAAGACCCTTAAGACATTAGTGAAGGTTTGGTGTCTCTACGGTCTAAAGTTTCGGAGGAGTAGCGATAACAAGGTTTTTCGCACAAGGGGCAATAACTTTTAAATGGGTTCATGTTAGGGGACAAGAATAAAATCTTTGAAACTGTTTTAAAAGTACATATTAATGATGCATAGACTTTAAGTATATGTTAAAAGACAAAAGAGATAGAAAAAGAGCTAAATTTCTCAGTTTTGGAATGACCTTGACCTTTGACCTTTCCATAAATTTCAAGACCAAAGGTCAATAAATCTTATGCATTTGGTCCCATGTCTCTACGTCTTCTCATTTTGAAAATTTTTAATTATTTGTAAAATTCTAAAACTTCCAGGGGCAATAACTTATTGAAGGGGTCAATGAATACTTTCGCAATGAATCAATGAAGTGTCTACTAAATTAGTCAAAGACATTAGTGAAAGTTTCATTTCTCTACTGTTTATGGTTTCGGAGGAGTAGCGATAACAAGCTTTTTTGCGAAAGGGGTAATAACTCCGAAAGGGGTCGTAGTTTATATACGCAGGGTCAACTGCGAAAATCTTTTACGGAGTACATTCTTATGAATTGAAAATCTTTACGATAAATCTTGAAACTCAAAATCACACGGCGGAAAAATAATAAAAAATAATAAGAAAAAGGAAAAAAAGAAACAGAAGGAAATCAATAGGTCTTTCCACAGAAAGGTGGAAAGACCTAACTAGGAGACTTATTGTTCACAGAACAATAAGAGGTCTTTCCACCTTCTTTGAATTTCAAATTTGTTTTATATCTGACTCCTTAAAATTAAATTCCATGAAAAAGAAACCAAAATTGTCTTAAAGCATAGAAAAAATGAAAATAAAAAAAAAGAATGACCTTGACCTTTGATCTTGAAAAAAATTTTCAAGGTCAAAGGTCAAGGGTCACAATGCAATTGACCCCATGCTTTTATGACTTACAGTTTTCAAGTTATAAGGTTTAATAGTAAGTACAAAGAAGTTAAAGGGCAATAACTCATATAAGGGTCATCAGATCCTTTCGCATTTATACAGTGAAGTTAGGCCTAAGGACCCTCAAGATATTAGTGAAGGTTTGGTGTCTCTATGGTCTACAATTTCGGAGGAGTAGCGATAACAAGGTTTTTTGCACAAGGGGCAATAACTTTTAAAAGGGTAAATGTTAGGGGACAAGAATGAAATCTTTGAAAGAGTTTTAAGAGTACATATTAATGATGCATAGACATTAAGTATATGTTTAAAGACAAAAGAGATATAAAAAGAGCTAAATTTCTCATTTTTGGAATGACCTTGACCTTTGACCTTTACATTAATTTTAAGGTCAAAGGTCAATGAATCTTATGCAGTTGGTCCCATGTCTCTGCGACTTGTCGTTTTGAAAATTTTTAATTATTTGTAAAATTCAAAAAGTTTCAGGGGCAATAACTCATTGAAGGGTTCACCGAATGCTTTCGCAATGAATAGATTGAAGAGTCCCCATAATTAGTCGAAGACATTTGTGAAGGTTTCATACCTCTATGGTTTACGGTTTCGAAGGAGTAGCGATAACAAGCATTTCTTGCAAAAGGGGCAATAACTTCGAAAGGGGTTAAGGTTCATTTACGCAGGGTGAACTGCAATAATCTTTTACGGAGTACATTCTTATGGACTATAAATCTTTTCGATATATCTTGAAACTCAAAATCACACGGCGGAAAAATAATAATAATGGAAAAGAAGAAACAGAAGGAAATCAATAGGTCTTTCCACAGAAAGGTGGAAAGACCTAAAAAGAAACAGAAGAATATCAATAGGTCTTTCCACAGAAAGGTGGAAAGACCTAATAAGCATTTCAAGAGGTCTTTCCACAGAAAGGTGGAAAGACCTAACTAGGAGACTTATTGTTCATAGAACAATAAGAGGTCTTTCCACCTTCTCTGAATTTCAATTTTGTTGTATATTTGACTCCTTAAAATTAAATTCCATTAATAAGGAACCAAAATTGTCTAAAAAGAAAGAAAAAATGAAAATTTAAAAAAAATTGAAATGACCTTGACCTTTGACCTTGAAAAAAAATTCAAGGTCAAGGGTCACAATGCAGTTGATCCCATGCTTCTACCACTTATAGTTTTCAAGTTATAAGGTTTAATAGTAAGTACAAAGACGTTAAAGGGCGATAGCTAGGGGATCATCAGATCCTTTCGCATTTATACAATGAAGTTATGCCTAAAGACCCTTAAGACATTAGTGAAGGTTTGGTGTCTCTACGGTTTACGGTTTCGGAGGAGTAACGATAACAAGGTTTTTTGCACAAGGGGCAATAACTTTTTTAAGCGATAATCTTAGGGGACAAGAATTGAATACTTGAAATAGTTTTAAGAGTACATATTAATGATGCAAAGACATTAAGTATATGTTGAAAGACAAAAGAGATATAAAAAGAGCTTAATTTCTCCTTTTTGGAATGACCTTGACCTTTGACCTTTGCATAAATTTTATGGTCAAAGGTCAATGAATCTTATGCAGTTTGTCCGATGTCTGTACGACTTCCCGTTTTGAAAATTTTTAATTATTTGTAAAATTTGAAAAGTTTCAGGGGCAATAACTCATTGAAGGGGTTTACAAATCCTTTCACAATGTTAGAGTGAAGAGTCTTCTTTATTAGTCAAAGACATTGGTAAAGGTTTCAAACCTCTGCGTTTTACGGTTTCAGAGGAGTAGCGATAACAAGCTATAAAGTGAAAGGGGCAATAACTTCAAAAGGGATCAAAGATCAAACTTCTTGGGTCGTTTTTCGGAATAACTTTAAATATCCAGTATCATGAACTATTAAGTATTTTGATAAGTCTTGGGGTTTAAAAAGTTAAGGGAAGAAAAAGAATAATAAACATACGCATTTCAAGAGGTCTTTCCACAGAAAGGTGGAAAGACCTAATAATAATAAACAGAAGCATTTCAAGAGGTCTTTCCACAGAAAGGTGGAAAGACCTAATAATAGGTCTGCTAATAACTTGGCGCAGTTGGTACCCATGGAAACTCCAATAGATTGCTGGAAGACCTGGTCTCCAAAAACCACATAGATATTGTCGATCAGGAACTCAAGCATCCTTTTGATGTCAACTTTAGAGTACTTGTGTGTAAAACCAGAATGTTTTTTAGCTCTACTGGTCAGAGACCAGAAGAGCTTATGCGATAGTAATGCGTCCGTCGTCCGTCCGTCTGTCTGTCTGTCTGTCTGTCTGTAAACAATTTTTCAAAATGCTACTCCTCCTACAGTTTTGGTCCGATTTCAATATAACTTGGCACACAAGTAGACTACACTAAGATACATAATTTTGTGCATCGGTTTTTGATTTCGATGAACGGTGTTGCCGTGGTTACTAAAAATAGAAATTTCTGTGAAATTCTTTCAAAATGCTACTCCTCCTACAGTTTTGGTCTAATTTCAATATAACTTGGCACAAAAGTAGACTACACTAAGATACATAATTCTGTGCATCGGTTTTTGATTTCGATGAACGGTGTTGCCGTGGTTACTAAAAATAGAAATTTCTGTGAAATTCTTTCAAAATGCTACTCCTCCTACAGTTTTGGTCCAATTTCAATATTACTTTGCACACAAGTAGACTACACTAAAATACATAATTCTGTGCATCGGTTTTTGATTTCGATTAACGGTGTTGCCGTGGTTACTAAAAATAGAAATTTCTTTGAAATTCTTTCAAAATGCTACTCCTCCTACAGATTTGGTCCGATTTCAGTATAACTTGGCACACAAGTAGACTACACTAAGATACATAATTCTGTGCATCGGTTTTTGATTTCGATAAACGGTGTTGCCGTGGTTACTAAAAATAGAAATTTCTGTGAAATTCTTTCAAAATGCTACTCCTCCTACAGTTTTGGTCCAATTTCATTATAACTTGGCTCACAAGTAGACTACACTAAGATACATAATTCTGTGCATCGGTTTTTGATTTCGATGAACGGTGTTGCCTTGGTTACTAAAAATAGAAATTTCTGTGAAATTCTTTCAAAATGCTACTCCTCCTACAGATTTGGTCCGATTTCAGTATAACTTGGCACACAAGTAGACTACACTAAGATACATAATTCTGTGCATCGGTTTTTGATTTCGATAAACGGTGTTGCCGTGGTTACTAAAAATAGAAATTTCTGTGAAATTCTTTCAAAATGCTACTCCTCCTACAGTTTTGGTCTGATTTTGATATAACTTGGCATACAAGTAGACTACACTAAGATACATAATTCTGTGCATCGATTTTTGATTTCAATGAACAATGTTGCCATGGTTACTAAAAATAGAAATTTCTGTGAAATTCTTTCAAAATGCTACTCCTCCTGCAGTTTTGGTCTGATTTCAGTATAACTTGGCACACAAGTAGACTATACTAAGATACATAATTCTGTGCATTGGTTTTTATTTTGATGAGTGGCAAGGATCATTTTTCTATTTATTGCTGATTTAAAGTCTCAAGTCCCAACTGCTACTTTTCTCTTCCTTTGTTTTAAGTATAAACCAGTAGAGCTACAGTCTCGACAGAGACTTCTGGTTAACAAAATACTTTTGCAAATGACCAATGACAAGGTAAGTAAATTGAGGAGTTCCATTTTTATAGAAAAAGCAGCTTTCAATGAAAGCCTGGACTTTAATTTATTATGGGGAATGGTTGTGTTTAAAGGTGCAAAGTCGAAAGTTTTTAAGCTGTTGATTTTGGTAAAATCTTGTAATTTCAACTTTTCCAAAAGTTCCTCTTTCAGCATAAATTTTGAATAAAAAATGTATTTCCTTTACGATGATTTTAACTTTAAGATACTATACATGTTAATATTTTGAATATTTGAACCACTTTGTACAGGGGATGCTATACTGTCTGTGTGGAGAGTAAATGACGAAACCGAACTCGGCAGCACGGTGGACCAAGTGACCAAGTGTTGTCTTAACATTCAGAACAAATGTGGAGCGTGGGAGACCGACATAGGGGTTACACTCACCGTCAAAATGGGTAAATAGAAAACACGACATATTTTCTTTTATAGTTAAGAATATTTAAAATGGATACTATTATTTCACTTTTTTCATGATCCTATTCACATAGTTTATTGCTTGGTTTGAAGGATTTATGTCCCTTTAATTTTAGAAAAAAAAACAGAAATAGGTATTTTCAGATCATTTCAGTAAGAAGTACACCCCTGTTCCAAATATAAAAGAACATTGAAAAGAGCTTCAAATGTTGAATATAAGGTGTCATTTTTTATAAGGTTTATTTTGCGTAGATTATTCTACTTTGAAGTGTTAAGTATTTTCTGTTTTATTTTCCTTAGAAAAAGTAGTTTGCAAATACACAACAGTATATAGATTATGATTTCTTAATTTTAAAGAAATGAAAAATAAATAAATATGGATGATGAATTTTATTCTTATTAGGTGTGTCGGCTGGAGAAATGTCTGTGACGTTTCTGGGAAATAACGAGTTTCGAGTTTATGTAGAACTAGGTCCTGCCGTCTGTGATGTCAATGTAGCAGAGCATTTTTGTGAGGCAGGCCACATCGTTCTATCTCCCAGGGCCTGGGAACTCTCCTCTCACAGTCTTTATAATCACGAACTGTTACCTGACGGACAACACGCACGTGTAAGTCTTTCCAACAGTACCCTTACCAACAGTATATTCAGCAAGGGTTTGCTAGAAGAGAGGAAACTCTCTACGTTCAGCGCTAAATATATTTCTATTTTTTTTTTACTTTTAATATATATTTTTTGATATTATTGCTGAAGTTATACTTATGGTAATAATTACTTCAATATGCAAAAAATCACCAAGAAGTGGTGTTTCTACTAATTCCGGCAAATAGGCAGTTACCTTAAATCCACTTTTCAGATACAAAAATCAATCATAAGCATGGGATCAAATATGGGTTAAAAAAACATTAGTTTTTTTTTCCACAATAACACAGTTTCTCTTACATTTTTCGCAGTATTCAATTCAGATTCTTGAATAAAATTGGGAACATTCTGCAGATATGCAATACGATTTCCTTATTTCAAAACAGCCCAGTAATATTTGGGAAGGGCTTGATGTGTCCTATAGATGTGCGATTAGCTTTCGGAATTATTAACGATTATTGATGAAAACAGCTTTTGTAAATAATATACTTATTGTGGCTTCCATCCTTGGTACTAAAATATTAAAATAAGTACATTTAAAGGCATACAATAAAGTGCTGGAATTAATTCCTTTTCATCCGTGTAAAGACAAATGTGCAATAAAATATAGTGATAACGAACAGTATATAACCTCAAAAGTTCATTTGAACAATTCAAATTGGGAATAGAACATACACAGACCTCTCAAACATCAAAGATGGGAACAGGTTCCAACGGGGAGTCAGCATTCCCTGTCGACGGGATACACCCGCTATATGCCCCTTTTCATTGTTTGAACTGGGTGAACAGAAAATTTTGTAGAAATGTCAATGGGTAAAATAGTGGCCTAACAATTAGTACGGAAAGAGTCAGTCAGCATTTGACTCAAGGATTGATTCCATTTGCTGACAAGGTTATTGTATCGACCATAGAACTTGCGAACTTTATGTTTTAAAACAAGACTTGTTGATATCATTCTTTTTTCCAGCTTTTTCTTCATAGAATCATTCTTTATAATGCAATCTCTGCTTTATTTGGATTCCGATTATATTTGTGGTGGTGTTTCTGATTGTTTCAAATTCTGACTGACTTTTTCATACTATAAATGCTATTATTTACACATAGAATTGTCTACGAGTTTCCGTGTTTCCCGATCACGATTATGACAATATATAGCGGGTGTGACCGGTCGGCAGGTGATGCTCACTCCTCCATAGCACCTGATACCACCTGTGATTTTTTTTGAGGTTCATGTTTGGTCTGCTCCTGATTGGTATTGTTTAAATTGACTTTTGAGCTCGAATGCTGTTCCGTATCTCCTTATTTCTTCCAAATCTGGGAAAATAATATTACCTTTAATACTGCTAACTATGTTTTCATTAGTAAAAAATTTGGTTTGTTTTGTTTGATGTTATTTATTTATTTTCATTTGTTTTTGGTTTGGTATATAAATGTTGGAATTATCCCTTCTACTTCCAAAAGCAATAAAATAAAGAAGAAAGGTCTTTTGATTTATGTATACCATATTAACCTTTGCCCTTTGTTTCTTTGTAACAAAAGGCAGTTTGTAGTGTTGTTAACTTCTTATTTTCCATATTTTAAGATCTGACAACATGATGATAGAGTATCTGTTTAGTATCTCTTAATCTTATGCAATAAAATAATTGTAATTTCAAACAGTTTTCAAAAGTATAAGTTGATAAAACACAAAAATCGTGATATTCACAATGCTAGTAGTTAACAGCAGGATTATCTTCTGATAATTCCACAATTACCTGCTAAGATATCACAATACTTTTTATTTTAATCTTGAAAAGTACCATTTTTTTTCATGGCAAATTCTTTGAAAAATATATATATTTTTTAGGACCGTTTTGTCTGATCTTTATTTTTTTTAATCTGAGACTGAATTCTAACGTACGATATCAAGTACATATTTTTCTTTAGAAAGATCTTCTCTACTTGCTTTTCTACTCTCAGATCTGAATTGTTGCTTTGGTACGCATAACAACGTAAAATTGACTTCCAAAAACAGAATATAGATTAATATTTGTTTGATTTTATAATTGAAATTGGTTTTCTGTTGTTGGATTAATTATTGCCTTCTATTTAGATTTATTTAGCTTAGTTAGTCTTGTCTGGTTTCTGAATAAATGAAATATTCAATGTTATTTTCTTAAAAACATATATTTAGAATTAAAAAAAGTTTAAAAGATAATATATTTCTTAACATCTCAAAATTTTTCATCTTTAAAAGAAATAAGTGAGTTAATTATAAAATGATTTAATGCCGAGTAGATATATATTCAAGTAAAAAGAACAGTATTTCATGTTTCAAACGGAATGAATATAGGTAGTGTTGTTTTTGTTTGTTTCTCAACCAGTTATAGTACTTATACTTTTTGTATTCTGGGCAGTATTGCTATATTTCAGATGAACTGTAATGTTTCCTTCACAGTCGTGACGGCCTTTTATAATTACTCCATTAGTACAAAGTGTGCATCCCATATTAATATATAGAAAAGAAATGATTATAAATATGTTTCTGCATCTAGTGATTTTTTTAAAACTTTTTTATATAAAATGTATATGTTCATTGATTAATTCTGAGCATAAAGTTGAACGCTTTTTATAAATATAAAATTTCTACATTTTTTTTTTCAGATTAAATCATTTCGGATGCCTCGTACTGCCGTGTCAGAAACACAAAGAGATGGACCTCTCTGGTTTATGCGAAGTTAGTATTAGAATCTCTCTCTCTCTCTCTTTCTTTCTCTCTCTCTTAACATAGTTAAATCTCTCATCAAAACAACGAATCTATACCATTAATTTTCTGCGAAGTTTTGAAAAAGTCGGATATTTTTTCTTTGGAAAGATTTGCAACATAGGAATGCTTACTACATAGTAGTAATATTTATACTTAGAGAGAAAAATGAGCGGAGACTGGGGAAAGACCGTTACCGGTATCACAGCGGCCAGTGCTTTCTCAGAGGGTGTATCTAAGTCCCTCTTCACCACACCAATCCCTATCAACAACGAAGCCAGCACTTCTAAAAGCTGTGACGATGAATCCGACAAAGGTGATATTAAACACACCCCAACAACATCATCCAGTCGCAGGAACTCGGAGCCTGCTCACCCTACGATCGCTGAAGAGGGAAGTGAAAATCATACCAGGCCAGGAAAACCAAAACTCGGCCTCAGCAAACGTAATTATTACAAACAACCTTCAAGAAATTTAGAGGCATTACTAAACAATATTTATTTAAAATTTCCAGCAGTAATCGTTTTAAAAGTGATTTTAAAAAGATGCTGTTGAAATTTTTTCCTGCTAAACAATATAATTTAATTCATTGTTCGTGTAGCTGATTAAAATGTTTTAATTTTTCCTTTTCAAGTACGCAATGTGGTGAAGACGGTGAGAGAAATGAGACTTGATGAAAGCTTGCGATTATACATACTACATCCAGTGTTGAAAAAGGTGAATAAGAAATACCCAAAACACAAACCAACAAAGTCGATGTCATGAATAAAAACTTCTTTATTTTTGCTGCTATGTTTCAGTCTTAATGCAAATTCTGTAATAAAAAAAATGTGTTTTAGTAAATAAGTACTGCAGTATTCATCAAAAGCTAACATTAGTACCTTTTCCTTAGTTGGATGATAACCAGCCTTTAGAGTACCTGTCTGAAATGAGGAATGTGACAGTTGTATTCATGAACCTTGTGCTTGATGAAAAGCATGACGTCACAAAGCTACTACAGGAAGTGTTTGATGTGGTTTACGTCCAATCTAAAGTCATGCACGGTATGTTTTTAGTTCAATAATCAATAATTGTGAATCTTTAAATCTTGAAAATTTATTTTTTATACTAAATTTCATAAAATTGGCAAGAATTACTTTTTCTTGCAGGATGTTTGAATAAGGCTTTCTTCTTTGACAAGGTAAGTTGCAATTGCTTGGAACGGCAATTTTATACATAATCAGATTATATTAAGAAATGCATGTTTCATAACCTAAATTAGCATTGAGGGGTAGCATCTCAATTACATACACTGTTTTATTTATTGGCACATATTAAAGTACAATGACGCAATGTCATCGACCAAAGGTAACTTTGCAAATCGACTTGACATACAATGTATGTAGAAAGTTTTATATTGTAAATTAGATATCCAAATTTGTGTTTAAAGGGTTGTACTTTTCTTGTAATATTCGGACTTCCTGGATACAAGCACGAAAGAGATTGTGCGCATGCGTTAATATGCTCCCACAAGATGAAAAAGTTGCTGGATCAGCATGATGGGGTCAAGTATGTGATTTGTTATCACTTTGTATGTTAAAACTTCAGTTAAAAGATTTCATTCAGTTTCATTTTAAAGCCTTGATTTGTTTTATTAAAAACGTTTTCTTTTATTCTACAAATCAGATCTGTCTCCATCGGTGTGACAACCGGAGGGGCGTTTTGTGGGGTGGTGGGACACAAAAACCGACACGAATACTCAGGTAAGTAACAAGGCAGGTAACAACCATTTTAATTTGTGTCACTCTCAATAATAAATTATCGTTTTACTTGGTTAACTATAGTATACTAGAAGTTGTTTATTAAGGGATTAATGGTATCAGATTAAATATGGCCTTTTAAATTAGAGACAATGTTATGTCAAGGTCATAACCTTTTTCCTGGTCCCAGGATCATTTAACAGAGTTAAACTTGAGACAATTTTTTTAAAAAAATGTAAAATGTTTATTGATTTTTAAATTAATTCTTAAATTTGCAGATAACAATACTCTTTTGAAGCAATATTGACAATTATTTTGATTTCAGTCTGCTGGATTAATCAAAATTTTAGTACAACATAAATCTTTGATGTAAGCTTCAGGTGTTTCATGATTCTAGGGCCAGTACAATTCTGTTGCCAATCATGCGATGCTTACTTCTATTTCCAAAGATTATTTTTTCTTTCTGCTTAAAATAGATATTACCGTAAAGGGTCTATATGATGGTATTACGAAAGTGACCTAAATAATTTATCTAAAATGGATATTGGCTAATCCGAATTTTCTTAAATTCTTTCTTAATTTGTGGGATATATTAGTTATTTGTATATGATTCCTATATTTAAGATTTTTCTTAATATCACGTATGGTTAAGTTGTTACATTACGACACAAAATGATACAAAAACAAAACGTTTTGATCGTTTTTTAAGGAAAAAAAAACACTTGTTACAGATTTTTGGCTCAAATCTTTACTTAGATTGGAAGCTTTTAAAAGCATCATGATTGTAATTTGTTTGAAAAATCCCATTTTTTGATATTTCAAAACTTTAATCCCTAATTAATTTTACTTACCTTCAAGTCTTTGATTGGGTAATTCATAGTTCTATATTAATTTTAAGAAGCAGAAGGTAAGATGTTTTCATACGCCTCCATTCTGCTAAAAATATAGTTCATGCTATATTTCAAACTCAGTTTACCATTTCTATTCAAAGTTATACAATTACGACGAGGAAAGGAAAATATGATCTTTTAAAGCAATATGAGCTGCATTTTTGAGAATTTTATTTTGCTGTTAAAATGTGCTCTTTTAATAAATCTGTATGTAATTTAATGTTACAGATTTTTGGCTCAAATCTTTACTTAGATTGGAAGCTTTTAAAAGCATCATGATTTTTAATTTGTTTGAAAAACCCCATATTTTGATATTTCAAAACTTAAATCCCTTATTAATTTTACTTACCTTTGAAAATTTCTTCAAGTTTTTGGTTGGGTAATTCATTGTTCTATATTAATTTTAAGAAGCAGAAAGTAAGATGTTTTTATACGCCACCATTCTGCTAAAAATATGTTCATGCTATATTTCAAACTCAGTTTACCATTTCTATTTAAAGTTATTCAATTACGACGAGGAAAGGAAAATATGATCTTTTAAAGCAATTTAAGCTGCATTTTTGAGAATTTTATTCTGCTGTTAAAATGGTTCTGTTGATAAATCTGTATGTAATTTAATCTTTGATGATCGATTAGACATAAATAAAGTATATTTTTTAGAAGAAAGTTTTCTTTACAATGGAATGTATGATATTATATAGTAAATCATTATTGTACAGGACGACAATAATGAAATTTTTCTTTCCATTAAAGCATAAAAATAGTTCTTCCAAAAAATAGTTCCTCCATGGCAAAAATGAACTAACAACAGAAGTTTAAAAATGTTGTTTTGAACATATTTTATTGGTAATCAAAAGGATAAGAAACAAGTTCTAACAACTTACTAGTTCTTCTCCTTAAACACAAAGTAATTGTCATGCAAAATGTTCTTTTTTCTGTCATAGAAATAGTTAATTATAAAACTGCAACAAAAATTTCCAACATCAACGTTGCAGCTCATATTGCTTTAAATCTCTTACATGAAATAAATGGAGAAAAGGATTAGAATTCAAGCTCAAAAGTCCATTAAACGGAATCCTTCCTTAAATAATACATTAGAATTACCTTATCTCTTTTCCAGTAATTGGTAGAAAGGTGAATATGGCCGCAAGACTTATGATGCATTACCCTAACAAGGTGACCTGTGAAGAACGAACGTTTCAGCAGTCACGACTTCCATCCATTAACTTCAGGGTGTTGGGGGCCAAGAGGATGAAGGGCCTTCAGAATGTAGGGATCATCAAGGAATACGTGGAATCAACCGACAGCTCCGCCCGGGACGTGGCTAAAATACCTTACTTCCAGTTCCCTTTGCTAGGTGAGCTTCTGTTAACAGACGACATTTTACATATTGGCTGGCACCAATAAATGACGAATTTATTTTTATTCTAAAATTTTCTTGCTTGAAATTCATAAAAATATCTAAAATGAAGTCAGGTATCTTTAGTTGGTAACATGGTACGATATAATTCTGCTAAAAAGTCAATGCCACATCATTGATATCATCAGAGAACTTAGATAAGATCTGACAAAAAAATATTTTTGGATGTTTTCTTCAAATTATCAACGTCAGACATACTCAGATCATCGGTTCACATGCTTTAGGTAGAGAACAAGAGGTAGAGGTGTTCGAACTCGAACTACAAAGGTTAGTCAATCAACGAGAGGAGGAATTTCCGAACCATTACATCATCAGTGGGGCATCAGGGATCGGCAAAACACGCCTTCTAGACCATTTCATCCATCTAGCAGAGAAAAAAGACATAAAGTTAGTCATTTTCAGTCTTGGAAAGATCAGAGCATAGTTTTTCCCTGATTGAAAAAAACGTTTATTGAATCTTAGATTTTACACATTTCTTCATGATGGACGTACACAATTATAAGCAGGGATTTTTTCCTGAGTTGGGTATAAATCCATGAAATACATATTTTTCTTTTAAAGTGTCATTTCCTGCGCACTCAGACTACAGCATTTACACGTCCATAACTGTCTCAGCAACTATATTTTTCTTGTACTTCTGTCATCATCCGGGTTCTCTCATCGAATAGAAGATGAACCAGAACTTATCAGTGTTCTCTCTCCTTACGCATTAGAGTCAAAACTACATCTTCTGAATGACATCATGGGGTCAAAGGTATAATTTTTTTCTTTAAACATAAGTATTTTAAATGAAAGAAAATTAATATTTGTAGCGTTGTGCATATTGTCAAAATAAGTGTCATCTTTATTTATTTTATTTGTGGTTTAGTATCAAAGACCCAATAGTGAAAATGACACAGAGGAAGATCTGCGAAAAATTCTCAACCTTATCATTGAAAAGGTACAAATGACAAGATTATCACTGACAAGTCATCCGAGACATTTTAACTAAACTATATTTAAATAAATCAAAAAATACCAGTTGGACTTCGAAATAAGCTTTAGTAGAACTACACAAGCAAGTTAAAAACGTCCAGCTTTTTTACATTGATAATTTATCAACCGTGTTACCTGTAGTGCACGGAGAAGCAGCCTGTTTTGGTGGTAGTGGACGATGCCCAGAATGTGGACGATCTGTCGTGGAAGTTTCTGTGTGAACTCCGGAAGATGAAGGGTATCTTTATCGTCCTTTCTTCCCGTCCGGCAGCTATCGAGAAACCCACGTCTGAAGACGCTGGCAAGTACATCGAGTCGTCCTCTGTCCGAGTGTTGGATCTTGGCGTACTGGACACTCAGTATATCCCGGCATTGGCATGTCAACTCATGGACGTGGTTAGAATTCCTTGTGAATTAGAAGTGTAAGTTTGCAGTATAATACTTCGCAGATTTAATATTTTAAATATGATAATATTTTCATTAATTGAATATCAAATAATAAGGATACACAATCCATAATGTGGAGGTTACCTTTTAAACATAAAGTTTTATCCTTTCTCTTTGGTAGAATGTTACGGGAGAGAACTCAAGGTGTTCCCTATTGGTGTGAGCAGCTACTGCTGGACATGACAGAGAAGAACCAGCTGATTATAACGTACGATGATGGGAGTACAGCCATGAGACAAAATACAATAGCCCCCAAAGCAGCACAGCTGGAAAAAGTCTTCTCTGACCACAGCTTTCATGACATCTTAGATGAAAATGACAATGATCAAATTGAATACAATAGAGTTAGTTCATCATTTAAAGTAAAAGAAGACGAGGTAAGTTTCAATCAAATTACAATATTTGAAGCAGATTATGAGCAGATAATTTTTGAAAATCATGACTCTACTGGTACTTGTCTACACTGTAATGTGGGGAGTGTGATGAAAATAACAAACTTTTGGTCGTCATCAAATTATTTCGAGATAAATTCTAAATGTCATTTATATGGTATTTTCAACCAACAACTTAGTGCTAAGGTACAAAAAGGATTGTATAAAATGCACAAAGGCAATGAATAAGATGTAACGTTTGAGTAGAGTACCTAAAGATTTTCCCATAAAAAGCACAAGTTACTGTATTAACTATAGTCTTTCTGATATGTCATTAAACTGGTACATTTGTATGACAGAATCCAATGGAACACGGAGTATTGTTAGGTTTTGGATATATCCATCAAAAGGACAACAAACAAAAAGAGAAAGTCGCCGTGTTTTCCCCGCATATTAACCCACAGGATATAGAGGTTCCACTCATCATGAAAGGTAGATTATAAAAAGAAATTTACATATAACAAAATCAGTATTTCTTGTTGATTTTTTTTAAATGAAAGCTGCAAACTCCCCTTAACAATACTTATCAAACAGTGCAACATTTGATTACCAAATTGCTACTCAAAAATAACATATTTGATGGTATGTTTTAGCGTAATTCGAACATTATTTGTGAATGTCCCTTATGCACTTTCTTTTGCCTGTAGCAAAGTAAAAGCAAATCAACATATCACAAATGAGTTGTACAAATGAGTGATTTGTATGCATTGAACGAAGTATTTTTTTTATCAACAAGATCTAATGAATGATCAGTGTAGGATTGCTCGATTGGGGAATCAAATAACGCTGATAAAAAGTACAACTTCTAGAGTTCTGAATGAAATATGTAGGATTTAATTTGCATTCTATTCCCGTGGACAAATAGAACTTTGTTTGATTTGTAGAGCTTATCATTGCCCGCCTGGATTCCATGAGAGCATCCGAACAACTGATTGTGAAATGTGCTGCCGTTTTAGGACAGACTTTCCCTAGAGATATGATTGAATATATCTTACCAAAAGTACAGCGTGTCAAAGCCAGAAAGTCTTTCAGACGCCTCAAGCAGATCGGCATTTTTGAGTGCGCCAATATCCCGACAGGCCGAGCAGCAATTCTCTTACAAACAAATGGACTTCATCCGGAAGCCTGCTTCTGTCCGAAAAAAGAGGATGACTACGACGTCGATCTGTGTAATGTGATGCGATTCAAGAACAATTTGCTGCAACAAACCGCATATAATATTCTTATGGAAAGTCAGAGACTAGACCTTCATAATAAAACCGTAGAATACCTCGAAAATCAAGCCAATGAGATCAGAAACAGAATTCCTTACTATCTTCTGTATCGAAAACCGAAAGAAAGTCTGGAGAAGAAACAAGGTATCTATAACATAAACAACATCGTACATAAAATTTCTGTCATAGACTGATTTAGGAAGCAGGTTTTTGAGCAAGGTATACCAAAGTCTTTCATTTATGTTAAAAGCCTGAGTCAGTTCTTGGATGAAATACATTTTACACACAGTCACTGGAAGTTTTAGTGTTTATACATGCCTTCAAAGTTAAACTTAAAAAAGAACAAGAAGTGATCTCAACGCTATCTTAAAGTTAGCCAAATCAATTTTGTTATTTTAATATTAATTAGGTACATATTGTCTTTACTTCAACGAATTAAATTTACAACAGTATATTTTATTTATGAAATAAGATATCAATTTAAAACATCCTTTTATAAAACAGGGTATGGATATTCTTATAAACTTATACATTTTCAAATGCTTTCCAATTACAGTATTTGAGCAATGTGGCTGATACATTTCATCATCAATTCATTATGAAGTAATAATGGTTGAGCGTAATTTCTCAAAACAACGAAAAAAATAGCATAACTGTGCAAACATTCGCATTTAAATGGATTTGACTATGTGTTTAACTAGTAGTTTATCCTGCCAGACTAAAAATATTTTCATGAATTTTGATACTACATCACATAAATTTATTGTAGAGGGCATTTTCTTGTAGCGTGCGTACTAGTAGAACTTAAGTCGAAGTCCAGAAAGCTGACGCAAATCTATTTAATTATGTTTTGCAGTTGATGGTGATATTTTATCAAATTTTGACGTGTGAAAAACTTTATTTTAGAACAAGATTGGAAAAATGGATGTTGATTTTGTTCTTGATTGAGAACACAAGTTGAATTAAAATAAGGTATTAACATTCAGTATTAAAAACTGAATAAACAGCACAAATACTGTTATTAAAAATTAATATTATTTCTCATTCTAATAGAGAGAGAAGAGCACAAGAGAGCATCTTATTTTATAACGTCATGTCTGTATAAAATGAGAGAAATATCATAATCATATTGCATACATTATACATGTGCTGACACATGAAGGTTTTGTTTAAGGTCAGTCTTCCTATGTTAATTTCATATAGATTAAATGTTGGTAGCAAATAAACGTTGTCATGAGCAATTCATTTCAGTTACCTTATTAACATATTGATTAAAGGTTAGTGGCAAAATAAATTTTCTGGAGTTCTACATTTCAGTTACCTTGCATATATATATGAAAGGTCTGTTGCAAAAAAATTGACATAAGCTATACATTTCAAATGACGTGTCCTGTTGGGAAACTAACCTGTATGTCACCTGCCTCTCACATCAATTCTGAATAAGCACAAAAATGCATTACTCAGAGAGCCCGTCAGTTCATAGAACTTTTCTTCTTTTAAGGTCTGTAAAATTCATTTCACAGCTACGATGTGTGAAAATAATGCAAAATTAGCCATGTGTGAGAAGGGAGATATACATGTATATTTGTTAGACTATTTGTACTCTGAGTATTTGATAAAAGGTCGGTAAATAAAGAATTAAACAACAAATGACATTTTGTTAATGTTGATTTCCATGCATTTTACACATTATTCTTTTACTTTTTCATCAAGACCATAATCTTTGATCTTTTAAAGGAAATTAATTGTATGTATCGTATCTTCTGATTGCACTCCCTCAGTAATGCTGACCTTTTGAGCTCATCTGAGCCATGGTTCCATTTTTTCTGATCCGAATGTTTCCCTTGTATTTTCGTCCCTGGTGTCTGTCGTCACAAATCTTTCACAATTTAGTCTTCCTCGGAACCACTGCCCAATTTTCAACCAAACCTTTACAGTTTCCTTAGGTAAAGGTCTCAACAAATGAAGGCCAATACTCATATCTAAGGGGAGATAATAAGAGATAGTATACATTTTGTAGTGTTAATTAAAAATCTTCTTCGCAAGAACCATTCGGCAATAAAAAAAAAATCTTTAAAGTTCTTCTACTCAAGAAGAGCAATGTAATGATAAGTCTTAATGATATGGAAGCATTCTCAAGTAAGGTAACAGTTTGCATTATGGCTCCAGGGAGATGTGTGAGGCAACTATATTAGCGCTCAAAAGTTTACATGGGAATGTCTTTAAAAATTCGTTTTTAAGAATAACAAAGACACGGTTAGTCATTTTTCAATGAATGCATCCTCAGAAAGTGTATATTCAAGTTTGTCTAAAGCATGACCTCCTGGTGTAGGATGGGGTCACTATGCTTTTAAGTTTTCAATTTTAAGTTCTTAATCTTTAAACCAAGACAGATTTCTGAGAAGTGAGTTGTTGTTACATGGATGACAAAAATCTTGTCAAAATTTTGAAAAGTCTGTTGCAATCTCTTTATAATAGCAAAAATAACCTTCTGTTGGGTCGTACATCAGCTGACTAGTTTTATGCACATTGTTAGGTCTTTGTTTTATATACTAAATATGATTACGGAATACTCCGTATACCGTATCAAGGCAGAGGGCTCACGGCGGGTATGACCTTTTAACAGGGGATGCTTACCCCACCTAGGCGGGGAAATATCCGGTGGTCCGTATTGAGTCCAACTATCCACAGTTTTGTATTGTTTTTATGTTTTCTTGACTGTTCATTATCTCTTTTATTAAATAAGAAACCTAATGACAAGGCTGTCCTTAAATACAAGTCGGTGTTCTTTTACATTTTGCTATGTTTAAAATCAGGCGTTCATTGCAAGGATATAAGGACAAAACGACTTTTATAAAGCAAAAAAAAAAAAAATGACAAGTTAACATTAACAAGAGATATAAGCAATTTCATTGCTTAAGGTTGTGGTACACTTGTAGTAAAGTCACAATGTAGTCATAAACTACCAGCATCTTAAAGGCAAATGCACGCGCAATTTTTCTGAAAATTTATCAACAGTAAAACTTTTCAGATTTACGGTATCTATTTAAAGTTAAGTAGAGTTCTGTAAACAAGGCTTCCATTGCGTCCAAAAGGTAAATATCTGCACTCAGACCTCTTCTTTTGCTTTTCTATTTTTAACATTTGTTTTAACCATTAATATTTCTCTCTTTTGTATGTCATTTTAAATCTGGATTACACTTATTCCATACCTATCAATAAAGAACTATCACAAAACTCTTAAAAATACTAACCCGAGTGAGATTCTTCAAATTGTAATCAAAGACTGATCCTAAATTTACCTCTTCCTAAAATTTCATTGGTATATATCTCTGAGATAGCTCATTTTAAACGTGGATTGCAAATACTTATCTAGCTATCTACAAAGAACTATCATCAAATTCGTGAAAAATACTAATTTTAACCCGAATGAAAATCTTCAAAGACTGTCACTAAAATAATCTTTTTCTTGAATTTTTTTAACACGCAACTCTGAAAACGCACACATTTAAAAGTTAATATACTTGAATATGGTATAGTCAACAGCATTTAATTTTTTCTAGAAACGCGTTCGATTTTCTTGACGATTTGCTCTAACTATTTGAAAATGAACTCATGCATATATTTCTTTTTCTCAGTCAGAGTATCCCCTGGGGCGATGAGAAGGTCCAATAAAATAGGAGACACTAAAATGAACGTGGAAAATGAAAACTCTTCTAGGAAGAACAGAAGAGGAGCGGTGTGTGTATCCAGAGAGTAAGCATTCATAGAGTGAAAGATTTATACCTAGTATTTAAATGTTATTTATTTCGGTTACTGGGTATTGAAATTGTGAAAATACAAAAGTGCTCTATAAGTGAAGAAAATTAGTGTGAATAAAGAAGATACATATTGAATAGAGAAAGAACTTTATTCGGTAATAACCAATATTTGCCCCCCAAATCAAACTTTGATGGAGATATATTCAATTAAGTTCTTAAACAGGGGAGTATATGCTAACTTCAAAGCACTGAATATTTTCATAAGTAATGACGCCATAAGTATGTAATGACGTCACAAACATGACGTAAATTTCAGTTTTTTAATGAATTTTACAGAAAAATGTACATATTTCGTCGATATTTTTGAGTAAAAGTCACCGAGCGCATGCGTGTTCAGGATCATTATTTTGATATAATGTGTAGAATGATAATATCAATGAAATATGTTAATATTGTTCCTGAACAAACTTGCGCTCTATAAATTTTAAAGCTAAAATTGTTGAAATTTCGTCCATTTTGTCCTCTTTCTGAAAAAGGATATAAAATCGGACTAGTTTGTGAGTGAATTGTGACGTCACAAAAACAAAAATTGTGAATACACTGTTTTGACACTATAATATTTTCTGTTAATTTATATTTCTCATACGATTTATTGAATTCAGCACATTTCAGGAATTTTTCAAAATTTGACTTTTGTGGGGGCAAATATATGCAATATACCGCATATAGTTCTTTCAAAGCATGTCCTTGAAATTAACGTGATATATGTATTTGTATTTGACTGCTTTTTCTGCAATCAATTTAATTATTACTATATTTCATTGATTCACTTTTAATTTATAACATAACCTGTCGGTGAACGTTTGATCATGGTTCATGCGAAGTTCACTGTTCTCAAGGAATTCCTAAGTGACCACCAAAATCCATTACAAAAATTAATCTTCTTTATTTTTATGTCATATCAACATCATCAATAGAATTATGATTCGGTATTGTCTTCCTCACACAGAGACATAGATCCATTGATAAAAGCTGTTTGCCAGTTAGACAACGGTCAACAAAAGATTGATGAACTTGTGAAGAGACTAATTCCCATATACGAGGATATAGAACGTCACATGCGCGCTGCAAAAGACTCCAAACACATCGTGGATAATCTGCTTGAATATGCTGCCGCTGTCATTCTTCTTAAAAACGCAGAAAAAGTAATGTTATCAGATTATAAACATTGTATTGACAAATTGAATGAGTACAAACATACAATTCACTTTAATTAAATTAATTTAGCATAAAATAAAAGGCGTAAATTCGATTAATTTCCATTTCATATTGCAGACTAGAGAAATTCTAGGTACCGTGGATGAATTAATGAAAGAAATTGATGATAAGACTTTCTCATCCGATGTTTTCCGATTGTCGAAAATTGCCAGAATTCGTGGGAAGGTACATTTCATTTTGTTTTCATAAAATATTTTAAAAACCATAATATTATAGATATATAATAATTACGATAATGTTCAAAATAATACTCATAAACACACTGACTGTTTAACGTACGTACTGCTTAAGCTACAAATTTTTTCAAACCTTATTTAGATTGCTTATCATTCTGGCGATTTAGAAGGCGCCCAGTGGTGGCTTTCACATGCAGGAAAACTACTAGGAATTCACCAGCCGGTCAGAGCCTGCTGGATTTGGCCGATCACTATAAAATACATGATCCGCTTACGTGCTCTCAGAAATTCTCCAATGGCCAGAAGGTTTGTCTTCAACTTTAAAAGATATTTTTAAAACTGAACGAAAAAATTGACAACCCTTCAAAAGAAACTTTAAAGGATGTCATAATAATAAATTATTGAAGAATTTCGAAATATGACATAAAAAAAAACTGTCAGCACAAGTGAAATAATATTAACTTTCATTTTTCTGATAAAGCTTGGGAAAATATATTTTCAATGAGTTTTATTCGGCTTGACATTTTAATGCTTTCAATTCGAACTTGAGATTTTTTAACCAGTAGAACGAATACAAGATTGAAATTTGATGACTTCTGGATGTTTATGGTTATATTGATCCTTGTTTCTTGCAAACGAATTTAAATAAACTAAGAACAATGAGTTGCAAACAAATTTAAACAAATTGAGAAAAATAAGACGTTTGTAATTGTTTTCATAGACCTGCCACACTGAAGACTTTAGAACAGGGATACTGTTTGTCAGATCTGTATTGGTTTTATTCAGCAAGCGGGAATAGCAGTCTTTTATTCCTTACCGCTCTACAACAAATGATGAAAGTCACTGGGAGAACGTGTCATCTTCACCAGGTGTGGCAAAAAAATTAAAAAAAGAAAAGAACCTCGATATATTTAAAGTATAACAACATTTCACTGGGTATGATGGCTAAAAACTTCAAAATCCCTCATCTATTTTAAATGTTTTTTTTTAACTTATTTCAGGTCGTGGAGTCGTATGCTAATATAATGAAACTTTGCAAGTTCGAAGGCACAAAAATGAAACTGGAAACAGAACTTTTTGCAATGTATGTTTAAAGCTTGTTTTATAACACTCTAATTACACCCCTTTTATAAAAAAACACAAGAAACGATAAATCCGATGAATTAAAATCATTACAAAAAGTAATTATGTCAAAATTCCAAATTAACAATGCAAATTGAGAGCAGAACAATATCCACGTGTGGGGCAGATGTGCGTGTTTTTATTGCGTGAGATCCATGTATTTTATATCGGCGAAAAAAAATTAATTTCATTAATTGCTAAACATCATTAATTTATCAAAAGTGTAATAAAACCAATCAAAAAGAAATTATTTTCAAATCAAACTTATGTTTTATTTATAAGAATAGAAAAAAAACATGCTGCTAATAAAGGGCACAGTTAGAATTGCAACAGAATGTTAGAAGGTCTTGCTCTAAAGATAACAAAGATATTGTTGATGAGAAACTCAAGCATCTTTTAATGAATTATGAAGATAATTTTGATCTCTAAAGGCCAATGAAACAGTGTACATTTGGAGCATAGCAGATCAGAATATCTATGTGTTGAATCAGAATGAATTTTAACGAACATGTTTTTTTTATATGACCAATCACCGATAAATATAAAAAAAAAATTCAGAGTTCCAATTTCTGTTGAAGATTTATATAATATATGAATGTATTTAAACTGCATATTTTTAACAGTTGTTCATCTAGACACGATGAGTTGTCTCCCAGTGATCTGGTGATGTTAGCAAGCATGTACACCGATATGGCAACCAGCTACCTCAATGCAGGAGACCTCCAAAGTGCGCTATCTTCTAGTAAGTTAGAAAAATTTTTAGTCCCTCTTTTAGTTTTATAAAAATGTTGACCATTCAATTCATGCGAATTTTACACTTGGTCAATCAGGGAAAAATTCAACATGCTCAAAGGTCCCGGATGAGTATTTACAAGCATAGAAAATAAAAATATTTTTTCAACGTCTCATTATGAAATAATCAAAAATAGTTATGAGATGATAATTCGTCATATCCTTTATTGACAGGTACTGGAGCCTACGAGGTCTGTGACAAATTAAATAACCAGGACATTGGGTTAGTCGTGTCTCCCATCCTAGCCTTGTGTCTGGTCCTAACCTGCAGGTATCTAACCAGTCCATCTATTTTACATTGTTATCTAATATACTGTGTGAATTGCTACAGTGCAGTTCCATTATAACCGTAATGCAATACGGTTTATGTGACATTAATACAAAGAACACTTATTTACTGAAGATATATATAGCTTAGGTTACTTTGAGTGAGCATAGTCATTTGATTCCTTTCGAGTTTCATTTGATTTAACAAACTTTAAACATGTTTAATTCAGTATGAAAATCAATAACTTTGCCACACACAAAAAACTTAGATATTTTCCCAATTTGTATTTGATTTCCTTTTATTTTACCATTTTTGTTTTCAGGAAAGATCAGTTTTCAGTGTATCTCCAGAAGCTGCGATCTTTCGTCTGTTACTCTGACGGCAGAATCCACCGAGCCTGGTACTACATCTTCTGTATGGAGAGAATATTAAACGGAGGTAGAGATTAAAATACCTAGAAGAAACCCATCATTTAAATTAACCATTCAAAGATAGATTACTAATAAAATTATATATAAACTTTATAAGAATAAAACTGAAAGCTGTCAATTTTATCTATTTCTGAATTTAAAGAAAAGAGAATAATTGAAGAAAAGACAATTTTTACAAATCTTCTCAGGATGAAGTCATTAATTAAGACGTAGCGATAGCTTTGTGTGTAATAACACCATGTCGTTTTTTCTCTAGAGATTCCGGATTGCATCCTTTTAACCATTACTCCCACAATATCTAAGAAAATTTCTTTAAATTGTCCCATAAAGTAGAAAATTTTCTCATTTGCGAGTAGATAAGTGTAACAGTGAATAAACATTATGGAAAAATTATAGTTGCTGTCTTGTTCAAAATGACAGCTTCTTAGTTTGTATTTTCATAGAAGAATGTGTATTTAGCCATGCCAGGCTAAATTTCATTTAGGATGATATTCAAATAACATTTTCCCTTATATCGTCATAAGTCATTGTAAAATATAAAAGTGAACAGGAGCAAGAGTTCTCACATTAAAGACTCGCGCAAGTTTTAAAGATTAAAAAAAATTCTCATTGTCCATTTGTAAGTCTGTATTTGAATTTTCCCTTTTTAATCAATTTCAAACTAGAACAAGCATTATTGGGGGTTGGATCGTGAAAAATCTTTTAATGACAAAGCTTATTTGAATACGTACAATTTTGTTGCAGTCATGACCCAAACCAGTAGGGGATAAAAGATTTGCATAAGAAAATACGTATGCACGTAAATCTTTATCTCTAAAACATGGACACTCGATCATTAATAATAAATAAGCAATGGGTAAGCCACAGCAGGGGAACAATGTTTTTACAAGCTGCGAAGTATAATTTGTAAACTTTACAAAAATTCTTAAAAAACTAGATTTAAATTGCATTTTTTTTTTCGTTATTTTGACCATTACAATTTGTGAAAACATGTACAATGTATCTACATTTTATTTGTCAGGAAGAGAAAGGTTACATCTTATCTGAACTGTGTGTTCTTTAGACTTTACTTATGCATTTTTTTCTCCCTCTTGAAATTAGATTACCCAGTTCAATCATTCCAGTGCTGTCTGGACTTTGCTACTAATTACCTACGTTCCTGTGATGCCGTCACTAATGAATATGTTCCTCGTCTCTTTCTTGCTATGGAAATTGCTTTATGGTGGGTAAAATAACTGACTTGCTATAACATCAAGAAACTAATGCTCACGCAAATCAAAACTTCCTGGTAGTAATAGTGAAGGCATGTTTTACCTTTAACACTCAACACGATCTACCCTTTTTTTTTTTAATTTACATTTTCATTTGAAAGGTACTAGTACATGGAAGTATTTTTCAAATCATTGCTTTATAAATATTTTAAAAAAAGTTATATTCTAGCCTACTTTTTTTTCAAAACACTGCCCGTTTGTCTAATATGACTTTTCGTGTTTTACACAGGTTTTGTCGGAAAGGCCAATGGGACGCTGGCCAGGTCTGGTTCGGTTATTCGGAGATGTACGACACTACTATCGTGTCGTTTCTGGCCTTATATGCTCTGTCTCGTAAAATTGAAATTATGCTTCTTTCCCTGAACACAAGCAGAGTAACGATGTCCAACAAAGGTTTAGAAGCCTTGAAAAAACACATTGTAATGGTAAGCCACTATGATCACATTTGAAAGAATATTGTACGCTTAATATAAATAAAAAGAATATTGAATTATACTGTATATATTGTAAATTCGAAATATTTTGAATCTAGGATTTGAAGAAATTAAAGAGAGGTTGCAGGAAAATCTCCTCCATGTTGCCACGCTACTGTCACCTCAAGGCTTATTTTTGTCTTCTTAATCGGTCTCATTGTCAATCAAAGTGGCATCTACTGAAAGCAAGAAAGACTGCAACTCAGCATGGCAATATACTTGAATTAAGATGGACTGAAAGGCACAAAATGGCCTGGTTTAAGAAAATGGATCTGTCGGAGCAATGGAACAGTTTTACTGAGGTACCCCAAGGGGGTTGGAATCACCAACCAAGGCCTGCAGAATCTCATATGTACATTTGGCCAATAGTGCCCAAAGCTAGCAACCGCGAAAAATCATTACTGTTCTACTCAGAACTGATTGCATCACACTGAAGATTCACCAATTTTTTTTGTATACTTTTATATTTTTCATGTTATGTTACTCATATTGTATTTAAGAAGTTGACAATAAAACATAATATAGAGAAATTGTTCAGCTTTTATTTTCAAAGAACGCCTCCTTTGCAAATAGAAATGAATCAAGAACTCTTTCAGTGGTTGGTCTTTAAACAGATATATCTATTCAAGAAGAGGCGGCGCAATCAGGTGTGAATACTTTAAAATTCCATGAAACCTTTGAAAAATTTGAAATCACAAAATTTTACTTATATCATTAAACGACCTTTCAACTCTTTATACAACCATTTCCCACGATAAATTTAAGTCCATACTTATTGACATATTCTGCTTTTCAATCAAAATGGAACTCGTAAAGATTTAATTACCTTGTCATTGGTTATTTGCAAAATATTTTTGTTAAAAACTTTCTGATTGTACAAACAAGTATTCTGAAGTTGATCTTTAAATTGCTAGAGTTTCTGATCAATTGACAATATCAATTTTGTTTTTGAAGACAATCTGTCGGGGATTTTCATAAGTTCTAATTCCTCCCCGTTATTAGCAGAGCCCTTTGTATTCATATGATGCAGAATTTGTTCAAAATATATACACCCAAAGAAGAAGAGAACACTTCTGGACATTTAGACATAAGGACGACGTTTAATTAATCAATTAACGAAATTTTCTTCCATTCATATGTCAACACATCTTGAAATACAAGATACATAGAGTCTGGCACAACTGTTTCATATTTAGATATTTTACTAGAAAAGACACTAATTTAACCTAACGAAGCTTTTTGATAAACCTTATGACTTCAATTTTTCAATCGTCAATTTCCCTCACTTGCATAGCAATATACCTACACTTATCACCTGCATATAGGGTTTATATTTCGAGTTTATTTGATTCGCAAGAGCATGGTCTACGTATAAACAATTTATAATTCGAGGCAAATTATTCAAAAACAAGTTCATCAAATAAGAATCTCAACAGTCTCGTTTAAAATGGTTAATTTGCAAGTCCTATGGTCGATAAAATGTTTTTTTTTCAGCAAATACATTCTTTTATGAAGTCAGATTCTGATAAATGTTTTTCATACTAAAGTAAGGCCATTGTTTACACACTGAATTTATGGATTTTGTCGTTAATGTCTAATCATGACAAGGAGCACAAGCAGGTGTGACCGGTCGAAAGAGAATGTTTTACTCCTCCATGGCACCTGATCCCACCTCTGATGTTTTAGAGGTTCATGTTTGCTCTGCTCCTGATTTGTATTGTTTGAAAGGACCTTTGAGTTCATCTCTATTTTCAACATGAGGGCAACATTTAAAATATTCACTTCAAGAAAACCATTAACCTCAATATTCACCTCAATATATTCACCTCGAGAAAGCCAAGAAAGTTGAAAATTTCTTGAGTTGAAAATTTTGTTTTCATGTAATATTTACATGTATTAATGTTTAAATCATTATCTACATTATTTTATAATATAATTTTTACATGTTTTTGTGATGAGATTCAATATTATTGATTTACCTTGTATCTGTTTATTACGATTAACTGCATATGGTAGGGTGTTTGATATTAAAAATGAGTTTCATCAAATTGTGAGCTAACTTACCCTCATCCTTACAAACGATTGCGGTACTGAGTCAACTCTTTACCTTTGGACTCCTGACAAATTTCATTCAATATTCCTTGGGCTGATTGTAGCGAGGTTTTTCAGGGAAAATTTTGATTGTTCTTGTATCCCGACTAACATAAAACAACCTTTAACACGTGCATCGAGGTGTCTGCCTTTCTGTAGACGTTTTATATCACATGAGGAAGAGCAGGATCTGCATGGTTGGTACTTCTCAATCGGAAAAACAAGCCCATAGAGTGCCAAAAAAGGTCAGGGGTCCATTGGCAACGTACGTGCTAAATCAGCACCCTAGAAGCTATGAGGATGACTTTAGTAAGTTAAGTATTGATGTCCATTTCATTGCTTTACTATATTCAATTGTTATTTGCTTGAATACATGCATCAGGGAGAGAATATACAAACAATATTTAAACTGAAAGGTTTTAGCTGTTGTGATGTGCCAAATGCCGGTGATTAAATTATCGACCGGTAGCGCTGTTAACAATAGATAAGACAGACTTCGGCGTCTCTGCAGTGCTTGATTGACGTATGGAATCCTCACATGACCGGTCTGTATAAGAACTAGCCATATAGGTGAGTACGTATGCCACGTGTTTAAAAAAATGTCATGCTACTCTGGCTGATTAATAGTCTCGTTCTAAGTTTTATTGGTTCATGCAGATCTCGCCTTTTGTTTCATTTAAAGACTATACATGTATATCAAGGATTTTTTGTTATGAGAGTACATTTCTGTAAAATCTACCGGTATTTTGGGGAAATTTTGAGAACCGTTTAAGCTCTCAAACATTAGAAATTCAAGTCAGCTCTCTTGTTAGGTTTTGACTCCTCACAAAATTTTATATTATGATATTATATATCACTTGAGGATTTTTTGATGATACTTTTTTTTAATTCTGGAAATTTATGCACGTTAATTTTTGCACGACCTTTTTGCACTAAAACACAATATTTGGGGTGTTAAAAAATTTATTTTGGCAATGCAACATTTTCTTGTTTTGAGGTTTTTTTTTACTGATTTATGGTTTACTGATGATCGGTTTAGGGTAATATTTTTATTATATAGGGCGCTATAAAAATTTATTATATTAAATGAAAAATCAGTTGAATTTTTTGTAGTTAAAAATATGAAAAAATAATTGGGTCAGTGATTGTAAAAATATGCGATTTTCAGACCCCCTAAAATGTATTTTTTCCTTGACTTCTTTCGTATATCTTCAATGTTTCTTTTTTGTTTGAGTTTGAATTTATAAAATTTATATTAAAAATATTAATTAAATCTACATTTAATGTCCCTAGCACATCCTTCTATCCTTCAGTCACAAAATATAGTATCCCATAATTATAATTATTGTCTTTACGATTTTGAAAACTGCATTGTGTTAAATGAATGATTTAAATATTCTTAAAAATTGAATTTGATTTCAAATATTTTTAATAATTGATTTATCATAAATAATTTTTACATGAGCGTTTCTTTATCAAACTTTGATCAAAATCTGATAATAAAAGATAACGTTTACTCAGGGTTTTAGTTGAAATAGAATGCTATAAAGTACAATATGTTATAGCTCAATATCAATCTAAAATATTAAACTTTAAATTTTTGATGAAAAAATACAGGTTTCAGAGGAAATTCGGAATAATTTTTATTTATTTTTTTCTTTAACACAATTTCTTCTTTTCTTGAAATATTTCTGAAGTTGTGAGTCTCTGTGTTTCTAAACCTCATTTTGCAAATATTATGTTTGTTAAAGCTCATGTTTTATTTTTAATAAAATGGAGGCAATGAAGAATTTCGAAAATATCAGTGAACAAAAACTTTGCCAGACAGCATATCTCTAGAATTTGCTTCTTGACCTAAAATAAATAAATACCATCATAATTACTTCAACAAAAATAAAATGAGGGAAATATATATCTATAGATTAGAGTTGTTATCATTCAGATTTTGTTAATTAGTTTAAAAATGGAAAAAAAAAATAGAAAATTGACTGTGGAAACTCTGACTGAAATTCTTGAGAGGGTTTATAGTTCAAGTCTTATTTTTTATCTAGTAGACATAAAACAAAAATATTCCAAGTACATTATACTTTATAATCCAAAGAGGTTTGTTACTTTTTTATTTTTTGATAAAAAAGAAAACATTGGTCATAGTTTGGAAAAAGACCTGTATTTTCGAAAAAAAAAAAATACCGAGGGGACACTAAAATTGAAAGTGAATATTAAATCTGCAATCACACTACAATGTACAATAGATGGTTTTTCAATCCTGTTAGTATTTTTCATCATCCGAGTAAAAGTCATCCTTAACGAAAAAACTAACTAAAGTATTGCAGTTAATTTTGTCAATAAGGTACATGTAGGTCCCTAGTCGAGTGACGTCATCTATACTGGTACTGTCAAGATAATGAACGGTAATCAAGTTCAAAATTTCAAGGAAACAAAATTGAGAGCTGAAGCATCTGAAGAAATCAGGGGGTGGGATCAGGTACCATTAAATCCTAATATTCCTAATATCATAAACGCCTCGATCCTTTTGTATAAATCGGGATGAAAATAAAGAATGAATTTTGACGATAAGTTGTAGCAATACCTATTTTAAAGTTCTGTATAGTGCTATATATCGAGTATAATGCTGTCAGTAAATAGAAAAACATGATGAAAACAAAAGAAACTAGGTACTCAACATATTTTCACATATTCTAATATAGATTACCTAAATATTAAAGAAATTGCACAGGCTTTAAGGTTGATTTTTTTCAAATCTTACACGAATCTTACACGGATAAGTATATATTAAAGTATACATATTAGTAAGAAGTTGTTTGGGTATCTTTAGTAAGTTCTCGTATGTGAACATAAGGAATCATTATACCTAATTTTATTCAACTCCTCTCAGACCGGATCGGATAAAAACCCACACAAAATGCCTTATTAAATAATCAAGTGCAAATATTCCGCTGACATGAAATGTAACTTAATAATCCCGAAAAAATAACATCCCTACAATAGAATTTATTTTGTCAGCAACCGGGAAAAATATATAACTTCCGGTTAACCTCTGTTCTACACTGTTTGAGTACAATTCTCCAAGGGTTAGAATACTTAATGCATTAAGACACTAAAGAATTGAATTTCAATCGATACCACTTGGCACAGCGAACCCCTTCGATATAAGGCTCATAAATATTGTAGATTGGAACAAGTCCCCGCTATAAGCACAAAACTAGGCTTTTTAGTCAATGAACTGGAAGCAGGTTAAATTTCCTAGGACATTAATTACGGTCTTTCTTCCAAATCTGTTGGAAGTTTTTTAAGTAAGCACTATTAAAATTAAGATTTTTTGACAGAAGCTAGATATACTTGTGTGTAAGTCTTGATCCGTGTCTAACAGTATCACTAATCGATGCAATCACAATTCTTTTAATGGATTAAAAGCAAATTAAGTAGATTGTATTAATGAATTACGAGCAAATTATTTCGAACGCATCCTCATAAATAAGCTTGATTACGTCATTTGATTCTATCGACATAATTACTATTTACGATGCTTATCGAGCTAGGTTGAATTTGTGCAGTGAGTATTTTTCAGACATCACTTTAAAACCAATCAACTTTTTTTTCATTCTCTTTTCACGATTTTATCTTTACCTGGATTTTGCGCAATAATGTTTGTCAAGAAGGTTTCTAAATGAATACATCCTTATGAGTGCTTTGAGGATGCTATAACCGCTACCAAGGTGAACAAGAAGCTAATGTAAAAATGATTACAATTCATACATCAATTCAAACCCCTCTGTTTAACTGTTTGGTAACATTCTCTTTACAGTAAAATCCTTTTTAATTTCAATTATTCAATGAAAGATGTCACAGTTAGTGCGGATTATTTTTGGGATGATGATAAATTTTAAATTGCCGTCATCCCTCAAATTTGATGAGTTTGATGATAGCTACTTAGAAATGAAACAAAGCAGAAGATATTAAGCTGATCACTCTTCCGAAAAATCTAGGTCTCTTGCTATCAACAAAATTTTAATTCAAGCCTGAAACTTCTAACAAAATTAAGTACGTGAGATCAATACCCAAATGTGTGACACACAAAGGTCTGACATTGTTATTAAAAAATATAATATTTGATGTTTTTAGATAAAATGGAGTTTCAGAATTTTCATTTTCGTCCTGGGGCTCAATTAGGGTTGAAAAGTTTAAACATTTTTTGAGATGTTTTTTTACACGATCTTAAAAACTTCTTTTCAAACGGAACATGTTTTTTTTTAAAATGTATATATATTCAATACTTACATGATGGACCTTTGAGCATGAATACTCTTCGTTATCTCGAAATATTTCATTACAGACTATAATTGAAAAAATATGGAAATAACGAGCAGTATTCCAGATCAAAAGTCAATAAAACAATACAAAATAGGAGCAGAGCAAACACGAACCTCCAAAACATCAAAGGTGGGTTGAGGTGCCATGGAGGAGTGAGCATCCCCTGCCGATCGGTCACATCCGCCGTGTGCTCCTTATCATGATCGGGAAATAACGGAAAAATCCATCGTCAATTTAGTGTATAAATAATGCACTATCAATAAGTATGAAAAAACGTCTGTCAGCATTTGACTCAATGATAAATTGTATTTGCTGACAAGGTCATTGTATCAACCATAGAACTTACGGAATGATGACTTTAAACGAGACTGCTGAAATTCTTTTTTCATCAACTTGTTTGTGTACAATTTACCTCGTTTAAGATTTTTTTCACACGTAGAGCATGCTTTTGCGTATCGAATCAACTGAGATATATAAACTCCGTATGCAGGTGATGAAGGTATATTGCTGCATAAGTAAGGGAAGTTGACTATAGAAAAGTTAAAATCATCACGTTTATCATATAACTTGGTTGTTAGATTACCATTAACGTCTTTTTCAAGTAAAATATCCAAGTATGAAACAGATGTGTCAGACTATGTGGTATCTTTTATCTCAAGCTTACCAGGATATATCGTATCGACATAAGAATGGAAATTACCATTGTTAATTGACAGTACGTCATCGATATATCTAAATGTCGAGTTGAAGGCCACAGCAAGTGTTTTCTTCTTTTCATGCATAAGATTTTACATTAATTCTGCTTCATATGAATACAAAAATAGGTCTGCTAATAACTTGGTACCCATGGGAATTCCAATAGGTTGTTGGAAGATCTGGTCTCCAAAAACAACATAGATATTACCAATCAGAAACTCAAGCATCTTTTGACTTCAGAGTACTTTTGTCTACAATCAGAATGCTTTTTATTGAAATAATTTTGCAAATGACCAGTGACAAGGTAAGTAAATTTATAAATTTATGAGTTCCATTTTTATTGAAAAGGCAGCTTTCAATGATTTTGCATAAAAAAAAAAATTAACTGGGCTTTAATTTGATATCGTGGGGAATGTTTGTGTAAAAAGTTGAAAAGTCGTCGCTTTTTAAGCTGTTGATTTTGTAAAATATATTGATTTCAAATTGTCCAAAAGTTCCTTGGAATTTTTAAATATCCACATCTGATTTACACCACTTCTTGAATATATTGTAGCACAGTGCTATTGAAGTTTCTCCTTCACTACCGTTTATATCTTAGTGAGGAGTAAAGAAAGAGGCTTGGTTGAACAATTACAGGAACCCGCTTTGTATCTTTGTTTGTAAGATGTCATATGAAGTTTCGGAATCCAATATATATATATATATATATATATATATATATATATATATATATATATATATATATATATATATTTATATATGGTAGTTCAAATTCATTTCGGTTCTTTGGGATATCAAAAATATTCAAAAATGACATATGATTTTGAAGAATTTCTTCTTTAGAAAGGGAACTATGAGTATAAATTGGATTACCACTTCTAGAATTAAAACCTTCTTCTAAAATACAATTTACAACAAAACAATGTTGTTATCTGCTTTGTCAGCAGGGACCGGTATGTACTGATCATGTAACCATTTAATTCTTTTTCACTTCTGGATTATTAAATACAGAAGGATAGATGAATATATATTATCTAAATTCTAAAATACAGATTTTTACATTTTGGCTAATTACCTGTAGCCATCTTTTATGAAAGAATTTTATATTCATATTACTTTATAATTTTAGAATTCAGAGAATTTAAAACTAACCATAAAAATTCTTAACCTTTAATGTAACATTTATACCAATATTTTTACCTTTAGCTGTAAAAAAAAAATTAAAATGTTGAAAATTCTCTTAAACCTTTGCATAAAAATAAATTTCAAAATGTATGATATGGGTCCTTATCGTAGGGTTTTTTTTTTTTGTAAACTGTAGATGGTTATATGATTTTCATCTTACCATTCATGGTTATTTGTCCTTTATCCTGCGATGCTAATCAGAAAATAACACATCCTTAATATGCCGTGCATTTCTTAGAATGTGAGATTTTAAATTTCAACTGAAATTACGTTTTCTTCAGAAATCTGGTTGATATTTAAAGGAAATTTTTTTCAAAGGCAACATAAAAGTAAAATCTGTATTCAAACTAAGATTTTTTAAAAACTAATAAAATTCTTAAATTTCTCAGAGGACATATATTAGAACAATAAAAAAAATATTGCTGTTATATATGAGGGTGTAAAGATTTTTTCACTTAAAAAAAATCAAAAGTGTAGGGTCCAAAAGCAAATTCTTTGTACAAAAAGGCGGACATATGGGACGATGGCCTGCGAAAATTTTGTTCTGCAATGCAATTTAGCATCATGTTAAATAATATTTTTCCTGCGCTCTAATATTGACGCGCAAGGCTTGGCTTAGCTATATCGTCTGTGTCATTGTGAAATACGCGCGTGATGTGAGAAGTGGTATTGAATTGTTACTCATGTGGATTATGGAATTTCAGTATTAAATTAAGTAAGATTTAAGATTTTTCTTATGATTTTATTTTATGTATTAAAATACAAAATTGTACTTTCTTGTCTAAAAGTACTGGGGATGATAATAAAAACGAAAATTTGATTTTAATTCTTGAAATTTAATATATAAAGTTTATTGTAGGACCCACTTTCTTATTACTGAACACTGATTACTGAAAATATATTTTTAATATTTTTATGTTAAATATTTTATGGTAAGGATTGGCTTAATAATTAGTACCTAAAGTTTTAGCCTGCTGAATCAAAGTTATGTTTTGTTGGAGTAACATTTTTATTATATATAAAGGTCTTCTTTCGATTTTTACAAACACCAGCCAATTCATTTAAATACTTTCATTTTCACTTTTTTTTTATTTTTTATCGGCTCTCACGTTTGATTAATTCATCTAGTTCGGATTTTTTAAAAAATTTAATTTAAACAATATTTATTCAAAAACTGACTAGATTGGGGAAAAGGCAAATTGCTTATAAATGCAGATGTAAACTACGAATGTACTTGATCGAGGAGTAAGGAATTTTTTTAAATATATCTTTTTGCAATTCAGGTAAGAATTTGGAAGATTCAATCCAAAATCAATCCAAAATCAAGGCAGCTTTTTGTGCGCAATAAATATACAGTTTTTTCAATGGGTGGCACTGTACCTCTCCGGTCTATCAATATATTTTTTTCGGAGAGCTACAATTCTGCAGCTATATCATGGTCATGAATTACAAATACAATGCATTGAGTTTACATTTATAATACATTACAACAATACGGGTAAACACAAACCTCTCACACACACCCTTTCTCACACCCTCCCTCAAACACACACAAGCACAACTAACTCGCACAGATCCTGATCACAAATAACATAACAAATAACTGTACATGTATAAATAACATTCAGCAAAAAGAATATTATCAAAATGTACTTAAAAACGTTTTGTTAACCTGATATATGTTTGTACATAATTTATAATTTTGAAGTTCGCTTGACAGGCAAACTCCGAACTCCTGTGTAAAAGAATCTTTAGCTCAAATGGTACACCAAGTTCATATAAGCTTTAATTTAAGTTATAATTTCTTATCTTTTTGGAGATATTCAACAAAGATATACTTTAATTTAATTTTTTGAAACCCTTTATCAGTTTCTGTCCTGGGCTTTATAAATGTGTGCGGTTTTTTTGTTATTATATATATTTAATATATTTTTTTTTAATATTTTTTTATTTTGTTATTCATTAAAAATATTTTGTTGATTTTTATTTCTTAAGAATTCAATAAACCATCGACCAATTGAGATTTTTCAAGGAAATAAAGAAGATACCACTATCTGAATATTTGACCTTTTATAAAACATTCTCTCACGTAGCACTTTAAAGTAAGAATTTCTCTTTTAATCCTATTATAAATTAAAGATTCTTGTCAGCAAGTAATTTTAAGATAAACAGAAATTACAAGAAGCCTTGAATCATTCAAATAGAACCACGAGTAAAGCTTTGGAGAGTTTAGCTCATGAAAATCATTGTGAAGTAGATACTACCAAGTTGGTCCCATATGATACCAACGTGACAGCTTTTTGTTGTTTACCATCAGTAACGTAATGATGTACTTGGGAACAATTTTGTAGGCAACAGGAAAATTTCTAGAAAAAAGACATGTCGAAATAAACATTTTCATAGACTTTGAAAAAATTGGTCATACTTTTATAGTAGGGAAAGGATAAAACTTTAATATTAATTTATATTTCCTTTAAGGGAAGTCAAAATTTTATTTGATATAGTTTATTTTAAAACCTGTAGGGCGTACTCATGTAGGGCAGTTTATAGAGCATATATAAATTAAAGAGTTTTTTTTCTATGATATAGTGGGACTCATCTTATGTCATTACAGGCAGATATACGCTTAAGATGCTATCAACTGTTATAGAATTCTCTTATAATTTTGTTTTGTAGATGGACTGATGAGGTAAAACTGACAGAAAGATGAACACACACTTTGGACTCCCGCACTTGCTATTTTGGCAGGCGTACCATTTCTGTAATTGGATTTCTGCTGTTCCATTAGATAAACCAACAACCACTTCCGATTTGCTTGGAAGTTCTTTGCAGACCAGGGTTGATTTATCTTCCATCAAACACATCCAGGACCTTAGATCCATAAACGGAAATTATTCCGCGGGAGTTACTATTGCCACTTTAGAAACTCACGATTTACTTACTGAAGCAAATAATGCAAATCGAAACCCGAAGGTATCGAATGAACTATCGATGACAGAATCAACAGATAATAAAAGTGAAAGTATTCCACATGTATATAAATATGGAAATCCAAAGGAAATTAATATTCAAACGTCGATGAAAACACCATCTGACAAATTACTAGATCGAATTCTTCGTAATGATAAATCAACAACTCAGATTTACAATGAAATACACTTCTTTCAAACAGCAAAGGCAGAAACAGAAACCATATCATCTGAAAACGAGACAACAATCGAAAATGGAACACTTGCATCTATCCAACCTGCACTAAACGTTTCTCTACATTCAAATGAAAGCATCAGTAGCACAAATGCTGTGAACACTACAGTTCCTTTAACAATTAATTCTACAACAGAAGGAACAACAACAAAAAACCCGACAAACATGACCATCAGAGTATTAACAACAGGAAATGACGTCAGAGAGAATATGACGACAACGCATACTGTGAAATCTGCAGAGCAGACGACACACGAATATCACCAACTTCATCCGTTTACGGGCTTTGCTGAAAACGTTCCTATTCGACCAAGATATCCCAAACACAACAATCACCATCTTAATCTTGGTAGGCCAGTATATATTTCATAATTTGTTACAAAAATAACTAAATTAACTCAAACAAATGAATATTGATAAAAGTATATAGCCTATTTGCAAATCACTGCGCTCTTAAAGAATGTTATATTTGTTTGTTTGTTAATAAAGTCCCTCTTGAGTAGGAGGTTATGGAAAAAAATCTCTAACTTCTAAACATGACAGGGTCAGCATGACAGCATAAACTCGACCATTTAAAATTAGTGTTCCTATCTTTTTTGGATTACCAAGTACCATATCAAATATGTCTGTGTAAAGTGAAAATCATGTAAGCCTTGTTTGTGGAGGATTGGTATCATTAACATGACTTTTACTACTAGCGACAGTCTGTAATGTATTAAATGATGCCCGTTTTTGCTGTTTGTTATTCCATCCCTTGCCAGAGGTTTTATCTCTCGACAGAGCTGTTACAAATTCTGCAATTATACATCGATACCAGAACGGTGATACCATGAATAAGCCATTATGAAGATGTAATTGTCATGATGTGTTTTGAGAAGGCAAGAAATCCCCCTCTTCATTAAAAATAAACCTGACTGATGTAGTAACGGAGAGGGGAAATGTAACAAGTAATCAATGGAGGGAAAAAATGATTGAATACAGGGGTATGAAGATACCGATCTCCCATCATTCCAGTGAGAAATAAAATGATGGATGGCAAAACAGAAGTACAGATGCGTTGTTGATATCTGCAACACATCTCATAATTTGGGTCGATAGTCATTATGTCACTTTATGCGTTTGATAATAAGAAGCTATTGCATGTTATGAAATATTTATCTGTTTTAACGGGCATTACAAAACAAGATGATTATGATGAGTCTTTGTTTTCAGACAAAGGTTCCTTGATTTTGTGGAATTCTCAAGCCCCGGATAGTATCGTATAAATTAGAGGGCAAAGGCACAATATTAACGTGATAGGACACAGTGGTAATAATTGTAGTCTTGCTATGTCAAGATAAATTGTGCTGATTTTCAACAACAATATTAGCAAAAGCTTTTTTCAAAGCCAAGAAGGGTTTCTTTTTAAGTAAGGCTAGACATGCAACTCCATTTACTTTCTCCAAACCAAGGGAATACGTGAAGTTCAGTGATAGATAAGAAAATGGCGTTTTGTGTTCTTTTTCAGAGAACAAATGATAGGATTCGTTATTGAAGATGTCTGTCTTTGAATCAAAGAAATAAATGATTTTCTTGGAAATGGTGTCCGATATTGGAATGAAGGCTGTAATGTCGTTCTCGATAGTCTATTTTCTGAAATAAGATTTGGTCACATATTTTTTCACATTCAAGACATTAAATAAATGTGCTTTTGATATATGTATCTGTCTTTTTAGATGTTTTCCCCTCTTTTTTCAGTGCCTATGGAAGACAGCCCGTTTGGAAATCTTTTATGGAAGGTATCCCAAATGTATAGTAGAAAACAAAGGATTCAGTTCTACTCTCATCTATTCGTCTTCTGTTCTTTTTTTCCTATTTTATCTCAATGCTTTTTTTTTTATTTTAAACCGATATATTCTTTTTTTTTAAAAATAATAACAATTTTTACTACATTTTTGTACACATTAGGTATTTCTTTGCAAACTTTGTAAAAAAAAAAAATTGATTAAATAGTGCTTCAGCATTTATTTTTTGCTGATGTGCATAAAAGAGAAATTTAAAAAATAGCAACAAGATTTGCATAGCTGAATTTTATACTTAAAAAAGATAATTTACTATATTGGTATACTCTGCCAAACAAGACATATATCAACGTTTGTTGAACATGTTATGAACGTTACTGTAGATTTCCAAATCCAAATTACGAACAACGTCCAATATAATCGGCAAAGAAGGCTCGTGTGTATTGATATTGCCTTTTTCTCAGAGATAATAGAAAATTCTGTACAGTGTTTGCCAAATGGTCATATCCTTGTTAAATCGCAGACTAAAGATGTATTCTTTTTCTTCTGTATAATGCAAACAACTGGAAAAAAACCTTTTTCTAATAATATTCACGAAGATTGGATTCACAGAAATAAGAACTTGTGATAATTTTTTGTCAGGATAAGAAATACTTGATGAGTGTGCTGGTGCCTATCAGTATTGGAATAGTGGGAGCTGCGTGTATCATTGGTATGGCCTACATAGCTCGCTACTGTTACAGGAACGAGAGACAAATACAAATGATGAAAGAAAGAATCACCCAGGTAAAACAGTCATTAGTAAGAGATTAAATTACATATCATTTATCTAATGACAGGTTCTGCTTCTAAAGGAGCACTTTGGGATGACAATAATCAGGGACCGCCTTTTGTTATTTTTTTTTTCTAGAGAGTATCGTTTTGTGTTGGATTATAGACAAAAGTAAAAAAAATGTTTTTTATATTTATATTATGTGGCTTTGTTCAAACATCCTCCAGACATTTATAGTATGGAAACGTACCATATAATTGTGTCAACTTAATGATTAATTATAGATTTTTATTTATAAGTCCCAGAATTTACTGCGCAGGTAAGTTTCCTCTTTAGCAGCAATTGCTTTTTTAAGTGCTTGAACGATAAATTGAACTGTGTTTGCACATTTTGAATGTGTAGACTGTAACTTTATCAAAAACTGCACTAGACTGTACTTTGCTCAGTTGCAAATCGTGATCAAAATATTTTTAGTTGATATTTTTTTTTGGTTTATTACGAATACATGTATGTTGATTAACGTAACATTCGAGATATATACGTCACCAAATATTAGCGAATGGCTTAAAATTGAGAACTTCAGTGAAGTATCAGTCACATTATCAAGCAATGGGGTATACGAGGAGAAACCGATGCGTTTTTGATAAAGATGGTGTGGTTGCCTGCTGGACACCTATAGTAATCGGACGATTACTGAGGCCATTTGGCGAATCGGTGGGGTCATCGGTAGAAAATAAGTTGTAGTTAAAAATCAGCGATGCCTCCATCGATGCTCCACATCGCTCCTCATCGGCAACCCATTATTAACACATCTTTCATGGATTGGCCGATGTATGGCCGAGCATCGTCAAGTGTCCGTTGGATCTGAGGTAATCGGGGGGTTGAGTGGCTTTCAACAGACATCGGCCGATCATTGGTCGATGTTCGACCAAACATTAGCCTATAGTCGACCGACGTATGAACAATGTTCACCAATTTATGAGCGATGTCATATACATCGGCCGATACCCTGGAATATCGTTTTATGATTAGCAATGCACGCTGGGCCTTTGTACGTCCGGCCGGCAACCACGCCATTTTTATCATAAAACGCATTGGTTGTCCATCGTATACCCCATCGCTGGATAATGTGATTGATACTTTATGGACTACTAGGCCGATGTGGACCGATGTTGAGGTATCGCTCACACCACGCATTACCACCGATTACCACCGGTCTACGGCCACCGGCCGGGAAATGTGACCTAGGCATAAGAGTTCTTGGTCGATGATCCGTGATTTAGTCACATTTCCCGGCCGGTGGCCTTAGACTGATGGTAATCCGTGGTGTGAGCGATGCCCCAACATCTACATCGGTCTAGTAGTCCTTAAAGTATGTCACATTATTCAGCGATGGAGAATACGAAGGGCAACCAATGCGTTTTTTGATAAAAATGGTGTGGTTGCCGGCCGGACTTACAAAGGCCCAGCGATGCATTGCTAATCATAAAACGATATTCCAGGGTAATCTGCCGATGTTTATTACATCGCTCATACATTGATGACCATCGTTTGTACATCGGTCGACTATGGGCCAATGTTTGGTCGAACATCTACCGATGATCGGCCGATGTATGTTGCCTACCTCTCAACTCCCCCGATGACCTCAGATTCAACGGACACTTGACGATGCTCGGCCATAGATCGGCCAATCCATGAAAGATGTGTTAATGATGGGTTGCCGATGAGGAGCGATGTGGGGCATCGTTGGAGACATCGCTGATTTTTAGCTACAACTAATTTTCTACCGATGACCCCAACCGATTCGCCAAATGGCCTCAGTCACCGTCCGATTCCTATAGATGTCCGCCCAAAACCACACCATATTTATCAAAAAAAGCATCGTTTTCTCATCGTATACCCCATCGCTGGATAATGTGACTGATACTTAATTTGTTTTGTGATCGATGCTTAGACATCGGTCCTCATAGGCCAAGTAGTCCTTAACACAACCAACTCAACAACAGACATAATCCGCCGATAATCGTATGGCAAGTGACTCCAGAGGAAATCATTTTTGACCTTCATGGCAACGATGACCGACCGGACATCGACCAGACATCGGATAGTTTTCTCCGATCATCCTATCATGCTCGGCAATTAAGGCTGATACATTGATAAACATCGGTCCTACATCGGTCGACTATGGGTCAATGCTTGGTCGAACATTGACTGATGATCGGCCAATGATCACCGCTCACCCCCGATAACCTCAGATTCACCGGACACTTGACGATGTTCAATCGTTCATCGGCCAATCCTTAAAGATATCTTAATGATTTGTTGGTGGTGAGGAGCGATGTGGGCATCGGTTGAGAAGCTGGTTTTTAGCTAGAACTTATCAAAAACCCATCGGTCGCCCATCTTTCGATTATATGACTTCAAGAACCCTCCGTCACTGTTCATTTGTCCTCAGTGCCGAGTAATAACCAGTCATATTCCCAAAAACGATCAACGGCCGACAATCGACGTAAGGGAGGCAAAAATAGGATTCTTCGGGCGATAGTCGACTGTTCATCAGCCGTTCCCTTGCCCGAATTTGACCTCTTTTTTCGTGGGCCGACCAATTTTAATATTGTGTTTATCGGTCAATGTTTTAATGCCTAGGTCACATTTAAGCCGATGGTCGGGCTACTAAATTTTTCTGATCTTGTCGGCTGAAAGAACATGATCGGCCGACACGAGTGTCGGGCGACACGGAGCAGTCACATTAATTCCTAGGAACACCGATGACTTGGATAAATAACACAAGAAAAAATCTTTTTTCTTTAGAAATCAACAATGATTTTTCTTGGATATATATTCAGGTAGGTGACATGAGTAATGTTTGGAAGGCAAAGTGGCAGCATTTTGTAAGATTATAACTCAATGTTGAAAATGTGTGCAAAATTTTGTATATAATTGCATAAAAAACGACAAATGGCGCATATTTAAGCAGCAAAGAATGCTTAAGATTTCTTCGTATCTTACGGATTAATCATTTATGTTATTTCCGTTCAAAAAATATATATCAAGCCATGCACCAAAATTTTGTTTGTGTTATTCATCCTTAATAGGTTAAATATTCACAAGTCGGCGAATCGTCGCCTGATTATCGAGCTCTGAGCTACAGTTTGATTTTAACCGTCGGCCGTAATTTTGGACACCCTTATTGTCGAACGACGGATGACCGATTTAATAAACTGACCGCCAATAGTCGGACGTTTGTGAAGATTTTGAAGGTTTGTGTCTGTAGGTACGATAACCTGTGTTGGTAAGAAATCGGCCACCAACGCAGAAAAAATTATAACTTGGACCAATGGACACAAAATTGCTCGGGCGACAAAAAAGAGGTCAAAATCGGGCAAGACAAAGGCCGATGTACTGCTGACTGTCACCCGAAGAATCCCATTTTTGCTTCAAAAACCGTCGGCCGTTGGTCGTTTTTGGAAATGTGACTAGGGTTTATTGTTGCATCAGCGGCCGATTCCTCCAATTGAAGAGGTCGTTTATATATTCTGGATTAATTATTTATGTTATTCGGCAGACAGTTCGTTCAATATATATCGATCGGTCGACAGTTAGGTATTGGATTATTGTAAATGTCAGCCAGCAGTGAAAATCAAACTTTGGGTTAGTGAACGATGAACAGGCGACTGTTGGTGACTTAAAATTATTTAATTTTCGAAAATAATCGGTGTTCTTAAGATTAATGCGACTTCTCCGCGTTCATCGCCCTATACTACTATCGGGCAATCATGTTTTTCAGCCAAGGATACAAGAAAAATTTAATAGCCCGACCATCGGCTGAAATGTAAAGTATCATTCACATTATCTAGCAATGGGGTATACGATGGGCAATAGATGCGTTTTTTAACAAAATGGCGTGGTTGCCGGTTGGACACCCATAGTAATCGGATGGTGACTGAGGTCATCGGGCGAATCGGTAGGGATTATCGGAAGAAAAATGAGTTGTAGTTAAGGATTTAAGGATTGGCCGATGTATGGCCGAATATCGTCCGGTGTCCGTTAAATCTGAAATCATTGGTAATGAGCCGTGGGCAATATACATCTGCCGATTATCGGTCGATGTTTGACCAAGCATTGGCCCATAATCGACCGATATACGACCAATGTTCACCAATGTATGAGCGACACCGGCTGAGCATTGTAGAATGATCTGGTCAATGTTCGATATTAATGTTGCCACGCAGGTCAAAAATGAATTCCTCTGGAGTCACTTGCCACACGATCATCGGCGGGGTATGTATTTGCTGTGACAAATGTGTTAAGGACACTTGGCCAGTGAGGACCGATGTTGAGGCATTGCTCACACCGTCGATCACCACCGGGCTGCGGCGGTTAGTTATCTTTGTCATTAAGGCAATAAATACTGTTCCCTTATCAACCTTATCACGTTTTATTTTTCTATGAATAAAAATTTTGATATTAAGATTTTAAAACATTTTTCGTAATGTTTAACAAACAAATATTACAAAATATTTCAGAATTCGAAAGAAAAGACACCGGAAAAATTAATTTGATTCCAAATTATCATTTCTCTCTATATACAGCAATGATCAACAGAAAACTTTTGTTTTATAATTTCATTACATTGGTTTCTTGTTTGGGGGATTCGCTGGTTATGATTAGCACCACAGCCTAACTGTCAACTTTTTTGTGCGTCACATTGTGTAATATTTTATTTGAATACTAAACTTAGCAACATTTCCTGATGTTTTCCATTTCAGACCCAGGAAACGCGCACTGACAATATTGTTCTTCTGGATGATTCTGATGACGAGTTTTAAAATGAAATCGAGATATTGGACTGATCAGCTGTTTGACTAATTACAAAGCGGTGCCCAACAAATGTGATTGTTGAGCGCTGACAGATCCTGCTGCCGTGAAATCGGTGAAGAACTGTTGTAAATAGAAAGGCAATCAGCTGCAGGAATTGTCTCCTGAACTCAAAGGGAAGAAAGTAATTACATGCATTGTCTCCTGTATCTTGATTCATGTGGACGAATCTCTCTCTCTCTCTCTCTCTCTCTCTCTCTCTCTCTCTCTCTCTAACACACACAGACAAACACATTATTATTTCATAATAATATTGATGCGATTGTTTTGTGTCCACTCAAATTCTTTTACACAGTTTCTTCAGAAAATGCTGTAGATTTTCAATCGCAATTGTCATATATGTGAAAAGAAGACTTCATATTCAAGAATTCATACGTCACTTCGCCTGTGTTATCAAGTTCTTTCAATGTTGTTGTATATTTTGTTACTTGTTTTTACTTATATTACAATAAAATAGTTTTTTTAATTAATCTGAAAGAGAAAAGTATGATTTGATGAGCTCTCTCTCAATGTTTGGATGACCAAGGCATACCTTTGCGTCATCTGTAAGGTTCGTACTTTTATTAATATTGATCATCAAAGAACTGTGTTTGTTCTTTCAATTTAGTATTATAATACTGTAAAATCACATATTTTCGAGGTTTAAGAAAAAATTATTGATATGTGGAGATTTGATTTCGTGGTTAGAGAAGTGTTGAGTAGTAATGTTTATTATATTTTACATTTCGTGTTGGTCATGAATTCGTGTGTCTCTTCATACAACGAAAATTAACCCCCATGAAAATTAATGATTTTACAGAACAGAAAAAGAGGAAGAAATACTTCTATAATTTGTTTTTATTAATTCATGTACATGATAAATACATAATTCATGAAAACAATCATGATTTAAATGTCACTTGATAAGAACATTACTATACCCCTTAGAATTTTACAAATACCCCGGTACTTCGTAGTTTCACTGCACCCCCAACTTGTAAACTTTGGCCAAAAATTGAGAATCTATATAGCCTTACTTTTAATGAGTACACTTTTTATTAAACATTTCAAGAAATCTTCGTCTTCACTATCTGAATATCAGTATGATATATATATCCTCCAAAGTGAGTCCAGATTTTTCAAGATGTATAAAAACTATTTAAAAACAATTACTTATCAAATTATTTCATATTTTCTTAACATTGTTGAAGACTAACCGATCTTAACCAAAAATTTTGACAGGAAAAAAAAATGTTACCAGATTATCTCGTGTATAGAAACATTCCTCTTAAAAAAAGCTATCATCTTGGACCCGATAATTTAATGGACTTTCCATGCAATCTTGTTATCCGCTTGGGATAACACTTGAAGAAGGCTAGTTAATGTGTGAACCTGACATAGAGCAATATCATCTGGATGTCTTTTTCTTGATATTTAATCCTTGTTGGTTTTTTCTTTTACTTTTTAAAACTCTTATGAGTCTTTGTTATGGACGAAATTATCCTACGAAGTCCTGAACATTTGGAAGGTAATCTTTGTCCATGATTATAGAAATTTAAATAATAAAATATATGGTTAAACAGCACAAATCAGGAGCAAAGCAAAAACGGGCCTCCAAAACGTCAGAGGCGGAATAAGGTGCCATGGAGATGTTAAAATCCCCTGCCGACGGGTCACGAAAATTTGGTAGGTAAACTTTGTCCTTGATAATGATACGAAATATAAATTTTAAGAAAACTTTGAAAGGTAACCCTTTTCCATATAAATGACCAGAAATTTGAATAAAGAACCTTTGCAGAACAAGAAAATTCCTACATATCAATTTTGTTTCAAATTCCATGGAACATCTGAATGAATCTAAATTAATCCAATGTCTGAAATGTTTCTTTGTTAAGTTACTGAGCCGAAGGCTCAAGTGAGCTTTTCTGATCACATTTTGTTAAAACTTCTACATCCGATAATGTAAACTTTTCACATTTTCGACTTCTTCTCAAGAACCACTGGGCCAATTTTACCAAACTTGGTACAAAGCATCCTTCTGTGAAGGGAAGTTTAAATTATTAAAATGAAGGGCCAAGTTTTTTCACAAGGGGAGATAATCAGGAAAATAAAAAAATTTTTATTTCATCAAAAAATCTTCTTCTCAATATATGCCACTGGGCCAGAAAAGCTGAAACTTATAAGCATGCCGGGGTTTATTTGTTGTAACATCAAAAGCCCCGGGGGTAGGGCGGGGCCACAATAGGGAATCAAATTTTTACATAGAAATATATGGGAAAAATCTTTTAAAAATCTTCTTCTCAAGAACCACTGGGCAAAGAAAGCTGAAACTTATGTGGAAGCATGCTGGGGTAGTGTAGATTCTAAATTGTAAAAATCATGACCTCCGGGGGAAGAGCGGGGCCACAATAGGGAATCAAATTTTTACATAGAAATATATGGAATTTTTTTTAAAAATCTTCTCTTTTGAATTTGACTAGGCCCAGGAAAATCTTTCCAACTTATGTGGAAGCATGCTGGGGGTAGTGTAGATTCTAAATTGCTCACAATCATGAATATTGGGGGTTTTACTTGGCTACAATAGGGAATCAAAGTTTAACATAGAAATAAATAGGAAAAATCTTTAAAAATCTTCTTCTCAAGAACCACTGGGCCAGGAAAGCTGAAACTTATGTGAAAGCATGCTGGGGTAGTGTAGATTCTAAATTGTTCAAATCATTACCCCAGTGGTAGGGAGGGGCCACAATGTGGAATCAAGTTTTACATAGAAATTGATAGAAAAAAATCATTAAAATCTTCTTCTCAAGAACCACTGGGCCAGAAAAGCTGAAACTTATTCGAAAGCATGCTGGTGTAGTGTAGATTTTAAATTTTTCAAATTATGAGGTGGGTCACAATATGTACATGTATTACTAGGGGAGAATCTGGTAAAGAATAGCATGGTCAAAGCTACTCAGGTGAGCGATGTGGCCCATGGGCCTCTTGTTTAAGTTATTGCCTTATTAGGTGTCTAACAGATTATGAAAATAACTGATGAAACAGAATTTATTTTAAAAACTTCTACATGAGAATAAGGAAACACTTACTAGTCTTCAACTCGACATTTTGATACCTGCCTACTTATTATCAAAGAACTCAAAATAAAAAGTACCATAGAGTCTGTTTCACATTTGAATATTTACTTAACAAAAATGGTTATGTAACAACAAAACTCAACGCTAAACATAATAATTTCAATTTTTATTTCATCAACTTTCCTTACTTTAATAGCAATATGCCCTAGTCACCTACATAGGAGGTTTATTTGTCTGTTAAATCAAAAGGTCTGGCATGGTGGCCATACGAAGAACTCTTCCTCAGAGTTTCATGATAACAATATGGCCATGTCATGTATAAGTCTGATTATCCAAAACTGTTTGTAAAAACTTTTGAAACCACACAGGTAAGACACAATCATATTCTCCATTGAAAAACTGTGCTTTCACCGAGGATCACTCCCATTTTGTTTAAATTGTCTTCCTTACGCTAAGGACCATTTTATTTTGTTTCATTCTCTTTTGTTTAATTCGACTGCCTTCACTGAGTATCATACCCTTCCATTGCCATTCTTATGTCGATTTGATATATCCCGGTGAGGTAGAGGTAAAAGATACCACAGAGGCTGACACATCTGTTTAATATTTGGATATTTTACTTGGATATTTTAATATCCCAAAGAATCAAAATGATTTTGAACTACCATATATATATATATATATATATATATATATATATATATATATATATATATATATATATATATATATATATATATATATATATATATTGCATTAAGTCGAAATAAAAAATCCTTACAAAAAAAAATACATTTTTCCGGTTCAAATTTTGTTTTTTTTTTGAACCTCTTTCTTTAAAACTCCTCACTAAATATTTACAGTGTTTGAGAAGGAGAAATTTTTACTGTACTGTTATTCAACAATACCATTATATTAATCAAGTGGTGTAAATCAGATTTTTGAACAATCATTTAGAACACGAACAAAAATTCTAAAACTTTAGGGCCATTTGAAATCCCAAGATTTTACCAAAATCACATGCTTAAAATGTGAACTTTTCAACTTTATACACAACCATTCCCCACGATGAATTGAAGCCCAGGCTTTTCGATATCATTGACAACTGCTTTTTCAATAAAAACGGAACTCCTAAATTTATTTACCTTGTCATTGGTCGTTTGAAAAATTACTAGTATTTTGTTAAAAAAAAACAATCTGATTGTACACACAAGTACTCTGAAGTCGACATCAAAAACTTAAGATGCTTGAGTTTCTGATTGACAATATATATGTTGTTTTTGTAGACAAATTTTTCAATTCAATTAAAATGTAATTCCCACGGTACCATGGCCCTGTTATTAAAAGACCTATTTTGTATTCATATGAAGCAGAACAAACAAAATCTTATGATGATAAGGTGACACACTTGCCATGGCCTTCAACTGCCACATTTTTTAAAATATATCTGATAAGTTAGCAAGTATATTTTAATTAACAAATTTCAAATAATTTCCATTCTCTTCTGATGCATGATATATCATGGTTTGTAACATTGCAAATGATTTAATATGTAATGGTACCTGACACATCTGTTTTATTTTGTGATATTTTACTTGAAAAAGACGTTAATGGTAATGCTTGTACAAAATTGTATAACCTTATGACTTTTTTTGTATAAAACTTCCCTTACTTATGCAGCAATATTTCATCACCTGCATACTGGAGTTTAAAATATCTCATTTGATTCGATAAAAGAGCATGCTCTGCGTATGAACAATTTCTTAAAGGGTACATTATTGAAAACAATTGAACGAAGCAAAGCAAATCAGGAACCTTTAAAAAGATTTCGGGAGTTCTATGGTGCAATAAAATGACCTTGTCAGAAATACAATTTATCATTGAGTCAAATACTAACTGATGTTTTTCCTTATCATTATCGGTTATTTAAACACTGAATTGACGACGGGGTTTTTAATTATTTCCTGATCAATGATGAAAAACAACTAATGATAGATTGTATTTGCTGACAAGGTCATTGTGTCCATGGTACCTGATCCCACCTCTGAAATTTGACAATAAACGGCTCTGCTCCTATTTTGTATTTTTTTATGGTTTTGATCGGAATACTGCTTTTCAATCTCCTTGTTTTTAAGAAATAAAAAGCAACGTTTAAAAAAAAAAGTTTTGCATATTTTTTTTTATTAGAAAACATTAGTCCCTCACGCAGGTGAAATTGAGGTATATAATTATATAAGTGACATTTTTAACTTAATTATTCAAGTTATCAACTTCCCATTTTGTAACTTACCAATTTTTTTTTAACAATCATCCTTATATGAACAAGAACAATAAATCTTTAAATCAACTTTGATATTTCGATTAAACATATGAGTGGAACACATAAATTTATTTTTAACTGATTATATATCGT